CTCCCCCTCCCACTCTATCTGAAGATAAAATGGAAAAAAATATCCTCGGGTGTGGATTTAAAATGGAAAGAGTAAAGAAATGTTTAAGAAGGTAAATTTTGCTATGTAGATTTTACCACAATAAAAAGTAGCTCATAGGAACAAAGATTAAAATAATCATCATCATTCAAAAACCCCCAAGTCTTGATTTAGGAGATTTAGATAGAAATAAGACCCTGAAGAATCTACCTGCATAGTTCGAACATAGAAAGTAAAGGCTGACATTTCCGAGACTCAGCTGGTTAATTGGAGCCCGTCTTAAACCTCTGGGGGCCTCAGCCTCAGCTCATCTAAAGCAAAGGTGTCCCAGGTCAGCTGCTCTGAACGTGTGCAGAGCCCACGGCTGCACCCTGGTGTCTCTGAACACCCCCCTCCTGGTCCCCAGTGTTAATGTGGGTGCATTCCTCCCGGCAGGGCCATGACCATCTCAGAGTCCCAGAGGGAAACCCACCTCCCGTTCCATTTAAGAGCCACTGATAGGAATAGTTCCTCTGTCAGGGGCCCGTCCACCTTCTAACACTGTGAAGACCAAAGGCCCTGCGAACGAAGACAGTTTCTCTGCGTGTTCGGAGATCGGACTTCCTCTGACCCTAAAAGTGTGGTTCTAGTTCTCTGCCGTGGGAGTTTTGCTCAAACTGAGGCTTTTTTTTCCTATTGAAATAGAAAATCGGAGGAGGCGGGCACAGCCCCAACCACGCTTGGCTCTGATATTTGGTTAAGGAGAGGTCCCTCGGGGCTGGGGGTTGCTGGTGGAAAGGGGATGGAAGAGGTGAGGGATTTTTTGCTGAGTGCCCAGGAATACCTAGTCACTCCGGTACGTCCTGGGGCCCTGGAGCTGTTGGAGCAAAATGAGCTTGTAAAGAATCATTACATTTTGAATTACATTTGGATTTTGGATAGTGATATTTCTCCATCCTGTGCATATAAGCTGGGAGAGGCCCTTTCCCTGGGGTTTTGAGAATTCACTCATTACCCTTATCGATGAAAAAAAACACGCTCATTTTCTTTGACTTCAGAAAAAGACATCACCAGGCTGGCCTGGAAATAGCACTTGGGGAATTGAAGACAATGGTGTAATTAAGTTCACAAAAGGCCGAGTCTTAAGGCCATATTTCAGCTGCTCAGAGTGCTTTCTCATCTCTTCTACCAAACGACTTCATAATATATTCAGAGTGAACAAATATATAGTGGATTCCTCTGAGATATTCAATTAGTTCACTAAAAAGAGGAAAATAATTTTTCAGTAAAGGAACTCAACCAAATGACTGAAGCGGACACTGGAGAGCCAACTTCAGAGTAATTATGCATTTCCTTCGAGTTCTTGCTCTAACAAAAGTCGATGATATGCCACCATTAGAAATAGTCATCCTGCCCTGGCCGATTTTGCTCAGTGGTTAGAGCGTCAGCCCATGGACAAGAGGCTGGGTTCGGTTCCCGCTAAGAGCATGTACCTTGGTTGCAGTATGTCCCCGGCCCCGGTTGGGGTCATGTGGGTGGCAGTCAGTCGATGTGCCTCTCTCGCATTGATGTTTCTCTCTCTCTTTTCCTCCCTCTCTCCCTCCCACTCTATCTGAAGATAAATGCAAAAATTTCCTCAGGTGAGGATTAAAAAGAAACAAACAGAAATAGTCGTCTTTCTGATGCTTGATTACATTTGTGTTCCTATCTTAGCAGATATTTATCTGAATGTTTACTCTGGAACGTCTTTGAGCGTTGATGTTTTTCAAGTTCCACCCGCACCACTAAGGAGGATCTGTTCTTACCGCTTCATAACTCACCGCTCAGCTTCCTTCACATGGTTCCTTCCCCGCTAATGGAAACCTCTCCCAAAGAACAGCCACCAATGACATTCTCCTTGCAAGATCCCATTGCTTCTCTTTACTCCTTATCCTTTGGGGCATCATAACACATTGCCTCTTCTTCCAAGTCAGCTCCCCTGTGTCTCCTGCAAGCTGTCATCTGCTCTTTTAAGTCGGGGGTCTCCATCTTCACCCCCCTGCCATTCTGCACTTTCACCTTGGGTGACCTGGTTTGCTAGAAAGGTTTCAAAAGCATCTGCATTGACAACGCCCCTATCGCCAACTCAGCCCGGGCGTTTCTCCTAGCTCTGTGCACTGGCGCACGGTTGCACTGAATACAGGGTTTACCAGCACCATCGGAGCTGAGCTCGTCTTCCCATTCCCCATTCCTTCTGCTCTTCTCACGTGACAGCCTAACCACCAAGCAGAGACCTTTTCCTTCCTGTTCAAACTGCCCACATCGTGACTCAACCCACTGCTGGTCTCCAGTGTCCAACATCTCCCATCGTGCATTTCTAAGAAGAGGTCAAGTCAGGTTGATCACTGCCTTTCTCAAGAGCTTCCCATGGCTTCGTGCAGTCCGCGGAACTAGTACAGGCGACTTGTCTGATGGGCAAGGCCCAGTGCCCTGCTGGACATCTCCAGCCTCATGCCCTTACCGCCCTCCCGTCCATTCGGGGACAGCCCCGTGATGCCGGATGACTCTGCGGGCATGCACACAGGCTGGGAGTGCAGGTTGAGCCACAGCCCATTTGAGTGTTAGCCGCATGTCTTGTGAGCCTCCCGGAGCTGTGAGCACAGGCTTGTGAGGAGCTGCTACGGTCCATTTCTCACTTGCCTCCCTCAGACCCCTGGGGGGCTCATCAAGAGGATGACAGCTTCTCAACATCTTCCGGGTTCTGGTGAGGGGCGGGCAGAAAGCCGGGGGTGCAGCTGCAGGCAGTAAAACCACTGAGAAGCAGCATGAAGCATCAGCACCAGGGTCTCCCTTCCTCTGTGACGCAGCCAACTGCTCCCTGTTGTTTTGGTGGTCCCTGCACAAGGGCCACCTTTGCCTACTCATCCTTTGACTGCCCCTGTAAGTAATAAACGGCCTGAATCATAAAAGGACTCGTCATGCCCTGGCCGGTTTGGCTCAGCGGTTGGAGCGTCGGCCTGCGGTACAGAGAGTCCCGGGTTCGGTTCCCCCTAAGGGCACGTACCTCGGTTGCAGTTTGTCCCCGGCCCTGGTTGGTCGTGCGGGTGGCAGCCACTCGATGTGTCCCTTCACGTCGATGTTTCTCTCTCTCTCTTCCTCTCTCTCCCTCCCACTCTATCTGTACAAAAAATGGAAAAATATCCTTGGGTGAGGATAAAAAATAATAATAATAAAAAGGACTCATCATTTACCAACAGGCCTGGCCTGGCCTGGGCTGGACGCCTGTGCTCTGAGCTCAGACAGTCACTACCTTCTGCCCCCGTGTGATTCAGAACTTGATTCTAAACTTAGTGTGCATTTCAGAAAATAAACATAGGAGGAGATAGAATAAAACGAAGCTTGTAAGTCTGGTTCAGTGCAAATGAGTGTAGGAAAAATAAAATGGGGTCAGACATTAGGTCAGGTCCAGTGTGTAAAATTAGACTATGACAATTTTAAGTGCATCAAATCTTTCTTGAATAAGGCAAATCCATACACTTACTGTTTGTGGCCTGCAAATTTGGCTCTAACTTTCCTCACAGAAAATTAGGAAGTATTTTTTTTCTTTTTTACTTTTTTTTTTTTTAGTTTTTTTTATTAATTTATTTTTGTTACAGATGTTTCTCCTTTTTCCCCTATTGATAACCTCCCCCCGATCCTCCCACCCCATCCTATCCCCAGCATTGTTGTCTATGTCCATGGTTACGCATACATGCATATAAGTTCTGTGGTTTATCTCTTCCCTCTCCCCCGACCCCCTCTTCTGAGGTTTGTCAGTCTGCACCCTACTTCTATGTCTCTAGGTCTATTTTGTTCATCAGTTTGTTTTGTTCATTATCTTCCACAAATAAATGAGATCATGTGATATTTGTCTTTCTCTGATTGGCTTGTTTCTCTTAGGATAATACTCTCCAGGTCCCTCCAGGTCCTCTCAAAGGATAAGAGATCTTTCTTTTATTGTTTAAAGAGAGAGGAAGGGAGAGGGAGAGAGAGAGAGAGAAACATCAATGAGAGAGAACGTAGATTGGCTGCCTCCTGCATGCCCCCCACTGGGGGTTGGGCTCACAACCTGGGCATGTGTCCTGACTGGGAATCAAACCGGTGACCTCTTGGTGCATGGGTCGACACTCAGTCATTGAGCCACACCAGCCAGGTGAAAATGAGGAACTATTAATGAATGCTTTGTCCCAAGAGCAAATCTCTAATGCACAGATGATTAAAAATGAATTTAGAGAAAGGTAAATGAAATCATGCCAAGTCTTATTAGAGTAAACACCCTTTTCTATAAGTGGAAGACATTATTGCCTGAGTAAGATGATAAGGGCTTCTTAACATAATGTTTCCTAAAATGAAAACCATTTCAGGAAGTAGCTGAAATAGTGAAAAAGTGAGACTTTAAGCATAAGACCCAAAGATTATGTTACGCTCCTACAGCTGGGCCCCTAGCCAGCCAGTGGTTCGGTTTCTCATAACTACCCCACCCATCTCCATCTGTCCTACCAGCCAGCTACCAATGGCGCCATCAGCCCAGCCAGACCTTTTTTATTCACAAAAGAAAACCCTGGAAGGACTCTCTCTCTACAACTACCCAGTCAGTGTAGAGCTAGTCCATATAAAACATGGCCTTCTGCCCTGGCATCTCTGCCTTCCTGCACCGCCAACCTGTGGGGATGCTTGGGCATCTCGGTACCAGGTGGGATTCGGTAAGCAAGGAAAGGTCCATCTGTTAGCTCCATTCTTGGAGTGACTTTCAGGGTGTGAGTGCGACTTGTGTGTTGGAAGCTCAGCGCTCTGAGGGCGAAGCCTGAGGAACTTCCATCGGAAGCCTTGCGTGTGCTAACAGGCTTGGAAACCGCTGCGCGTTGCACACGTCGGCCGGCTCTGAGCACTGGCCCGGCTGGAGCCCTGCTCATCGGGGAGGTGCCTGGTGTACTACGGCACATTCCGCGTGCAGTGTGTCCTAACAGCGCCCCTCTCTCCCGCAGGCAACCCGCCGGCTACTGGCACCGGGACTTTGCTGATCACCCTGGAAGACGTGAATGACAACGCCCCCTTCATCTACCCCACGGTAGCCGAAGTCTGTGACGATGCCAAAAACCTCAGTGTAGTCATTCTGGGAGCATCCGACAAGGATCTCTACCCAAATACAGATCCTTTCAAATTTGAAATCCATAAACAAGCTGTTCCTGATAGAGTCTGGAAGGTCTCCAAGATCAACAGTGAGTCCCGTCAGACGTTCTCTGGTTATTCTTGGGGCTTTGAGCCTAGTGTCCGGGGCTTGGTTTCTTCCCAAACTATGTCTCCTCTCCTACTCTCTCATGTGTTCTCAAGTGGTTTATTTCAAGTTATTTATAAATACCGATAATTTTCCCACCAGCAAATGAGTACAATTTGTTAATATATTAAATATCAGTTCCTCACAATGCAAACATGAAAGTTTTCTTTATTGTTTCCTCTCTTGTCTTTTCTATACTGTACACAGTACATTATCTACCCCATACTGATTGTACACTCCATAGCGTGTATACTATATGCTATATACATACATCCTACACTGTACACTCTATACAGTACACCCTGTACTGCACACATTACTGCTATACTGACTGTATACTCCATAGTGTATATACTATACATTGTAAACAATAAACCCTAGACTGTACATTCTATATACTCTGTACTGTACACACTACTGTGTACAGTACACTTACTATCTGTCCTGTACTGACTTTACACTCCATAGCATGTATACTATACACCCTACACTGTACACTCTACACAGTACACCCTGTACTGTACACATTACTGTACACTGAGTACCATCCACCCTATATTGTACACTCTGTACTGTATACTATACTGTATACCGTACACTGTCCACTCTACACTGTATATCATATACTATAGACCTTATACAGTGTACTCTATACTGTATACATACACTGTTCACCCTGTACTGTACACTCTGGGCTTTACATCCTATACTGTACAGCTCTATACCATACAGCCACCCAGGCTTCAGCATTCAAAAGCCCGGGCCTCTGCTTCTCCCTAAACATGTCTTGAGGCTCAGCTGTCTCTTGTCTCTCGAATAACCGTGACTACATTAACTGTCACCAGCACTTCTGAGAGATGCCCACGGTGCGCTCGCTTTTACAAAGGACTAAGGGGAAGAGAAGCACCGGTGCAGGGATCCTCAGAAAGTCTACCCTCTACTCCCCAGCTCCCGTTCCCTGCTGCAGACCTCCTCCACGCCGACTTGACCATGACCGTGGCTTTTCTGTCAAACACTCAGCTTTTACTTTCAACTTTGATCTCTCCTTTCATCCACCCTGCCCCTCACTTAGGAAACTCGCAAGCCGTGTCCCTTCCTACCCATCTTCCCATGTGCGCAGGTGGAATCCAAAACTTGGCCCAACTTATCATCTACCTTATTAAGATGGAAATGCCCATGTGTTGAATCACGAAGTAGCCCTCTATCCACAGTACCTCGCCCGCTTTCCTCCTCATAGCTAAGTGCACCCTGCCTTGAAATAAAACCAAAAACCAGAACTCACATCTTAGACATACACTCTGTCATCACTAGCAAACGGCCCCTGCCATTGACCCCGGCACGGCTCCCTCCTCCTCCATCCGTGGTAGCATTTTTGAGAGTGAGAGAGAGAATTACCCATTTCGTTCTGTTTTGAAAACGTGTTGTACACTTGTGCATAAAATTTTCTGTTAAAAATCGCATATGCATTATTATGACCTTATCTCACATCTCCTTTTATTAATAATGCCTTTCTCCTGTTATCGATTCTATTTGCCTGTGTGTCTGTTTTATTGCTTTTTAAAGAATGGATTTCGTCACACTGATTATTTTTAATTAAAACAGCCCTTCTCTGGTTGGAGGGGTTGCTGTTTGTTTGGTAGCGTTTGTGGCTGCAGCTGATTTGAATAATCACCGCCAGTTCTTGCCAGCTGGGACTTTCTCGTTCAAGAGTCTCTCCTCTCCTTGAGAGAGAGGGGGATGCTCCAGGAGTCAATCTGCTATTTCACTGTGGTGATTTGCTACCTTGGTTCTAGCTTGCTGCTCCCTAACCTGGTTAGGATGATACTCCATCTGCTTTGGTCTCCATGTCATCGAAGTCTGCTTTCCCTCTGGTGTCATTGAATACATGGGAGGCCTCCTAAATCCCTTTCCTTGTCCCCCAGTTGCTGTTTTTTCTGAATACTTAGCATTGTCTGTGCTCAGAAAGGGGCAGTTTAAAACGAGCAAACAAACAAAAAAATCCCTTGTCATCCGAGTGATGGAAAAGAGAACAGCCTGAAGCTAAAAACAGTGGCCAGGTGGGGTGGCCTCTTCTGAGTGCTGCCCAGAGGCCTGGATAAGGGCAGATGTTCTCACTACACAGGCTTAAAGACCCCGTCTCCATAAGCTGTGGATGCCCACTCCACTCTAGGGCTGTGGGCTGAGGCCTGATAAAGATGACAGCATCCATCCCCATGGCAACACTCGGTGTCAAGTCCACATGTAGAGTAAGTGGATTTTTTTTTTTTGGTCCAAGAATTTATTTTGATTGTTTGAATTAGGATTCCTATATAAAAATGTTCTGAGCTGTGCCCGGCTGGTGTGGCTCAGTGGTTGACCCATGTACCAAGAGGTTGTCAGTTTGATTCCAGGTCAGGGCATATGCCCAGGTTGTGGGCCCAATCCCCAGTGGGGAGCATGCAAGAGGCAGACAATCGATTTTCTCTCTCATTGATGTTTCTATCTCTCTCTCCCTCTCCCTTCCTCTCTCTCTAAAATCAATAAAGAAAAAAAAAAGGTAAAAAAAAAAAAAAACTGCTAAAAAGTGTTCTGAGCTGGTATTTTTTTTTCTTTTTCTCCAGTTTGTTGAAGTATAATTGACAAATAACAATAGTATATATTTCAGATGTACAATGTGATCACTTAAGAGTGGATTTTTTAGCCCTGGCCAGTTTGGCTCAGCGGGTAGATCCTCAGCCTGCGAACCAAGGAGTCCTGGGTTTGATTCCAGCCAAGGGCATTGCGGTTCATCCCTGGTTAGGGTCACGCGGGTGGCAAACAATCAATGTGTCCCTCTCACATCCATGTTTCTCTCTCTCCCCCTCCCACTCTGTCTGAAGACAAATGTAAAAATATCCTTGGGTGAGGATTAAACAAAACAAGAATGGATTCTTACATTTTTCTAGATATTGAATGTGATCTTTGTGAAGATGGCTTTATTGGTATAATAAATGCACAGGGAGGGGTTCTCAGTACTCAGTCATTTTGACAAAAGTGAACCCCCTAGAAGTCGATTATAATAACACCGAACGACAGGCCTCTTTGGTGATGGAAACATCCTGTCTGGGCTGTCAGGTAGGGTAGCCACCAGCCACCATGTGTGTGTGCCTGCCAGACACTTGAAATGTGGCTGGTGCAAGAGAACCGAATGTATATGTTCATGTGATGCCGATGAATCTCAGTTTAAACACTCTCACGGCTACCAACAAAATGCACCACCTGTTTTGCGCGTTCTCACATTTGCATTTGGAAAGGTCTCATGAAAGTCCCTTTGTCTTCATAGACACACACGCCCTGGTAAGCCTTCTTCAAAATCTGAACAAAGCCAACTACCAGCTGCCCATCATGGTGACAGATTCAGGGAAACCACCCATGACGAACATCACAGACCTCAGGGTACAAGTGTGTTCCTGCAAGAATTCCAAAGTGGACTGCAACGCAGCGGGGACCCTGCGCTTCAGCCTGACCTCAGTCCTGCTCATCTCTCTCTTCAGTGTCGCTCGTAAGTTGGCCTAACTCCAGTGGGTGCACATGAACGGAAACGTAGCCAGAAGCCTTTTCCCCCGTATCTCTTCCTCAAAAAACATTTTATCCCAGAGGAAACATTTATTTTTAGCTTATGTCTGTAGAGTAGAAGGTGTTACGTGTAAAAAATGTTCCAATTAACGTTTAAAGGCATCTTAACACCCCCCTGCCACCCTGAGGAATTGAGCAAAGGTACGCTCTGCTGTCCTGCAGACCAGGTGACGAGAACATGTCCCGTGGATGCCACTGAACTTGAGCTAATACAGATGTGCCCAGATTGGTTAACTGGTCTGCCAGGGCCTGTTTCTCTCTGCATTGCGCAGAATCATCTTTCTCAAGGTTAAAGTAGATACGATACCTTTTTAAGAACAGTCATGAGAATTCATGGGTGGCAGCTGGGCCGTAGGGAAAGAGATAAATGTATAATTCACACATTGTTTTCACTGCCTGGTAGTAATGGCTGTAATGCAATGGAGCATTATTTTAAACAAATAAATTATTATACCTAGTAATACAGGTGTAAGCAGAAAACGAATAGATATGTGTATGAAATATTTTCTATTTATGGAATACTGGTCCTATTTTAACTTCAGCAATTATTTGCATATCGCTAATGCCATTCAAAAGCCTTTTTGCCCTTGGTATTTACATTTTGACAAGGTTATTGATGTAATTGTGAATTAGGAAGTTGAGAATTTGATGATTAGAAAAAAATAACAAGAGTTATTACATCCTGGTGGCAGTAGAAAGTAGGGTCAACAAGCAATCACACATTCCAACGTGGACTGTGTATAAAGCTTTGTACTGGGCCAACGTCCTGTGTGGGCAGAAGAACTAAGGAGGAAAAGACCTTATAATGAGAAATGTATCACTGGATGGTTGAGACACTTCTTCAAGAAATAAAATGAGCCCTTGCCAATTTGGCTCAGCGGTTAGAGCTCGGCCTGCGGTCCAGAGAGACCCGGGTTCGGTTCCCGCTAAGGGCACGTACCTCGGTTGCAGTTTGTCCCCGGCCCTGGTCAGTCGTGCAGGTGGCAGCCACTCGATGTGCCCCTTTCACATCGATGTTTCTCTCTCTGTCTCTGTTCCTCTCTCTCCCTCCCACTCTACCTGAACAAAAACTGAAAAAATGTCCTTGGGTGAGGATAAAAAAAAAAAAAAAAGAAAGAAATAAAATGCACCCTGGCTGGTGTGCACAGTGGTTAGAGCATTAGCCAAATATCTAAGGATTGTGGGTTTTGATTCCTGGTCAAGGGTATGGTTCATCCCTGGCCCCTGTTGGGGTGCATGCAGGAGGCAACCCATTGATGTGTCTCTCTCACTTTATGTTTCTCTCTCCTCTCTCTCCCTCTCTCTCTCCCTTTCTCCCTCCCCTCTCCCTTCTACTCTCTCTATAAATCAATGGAAAAAATATCCTTGGGTAAGAATTAACAACAAAAAAAAGAAAGAAAATGTTATAGGTAAAGGTGATCCTCTCCCCAGTTTTATTTCTTGTTCTTTCTCCCCAGAGACAATGGCTATTCTGAGTGTGTACTAACATTGTTTTATACTTTTACTACACACACACACACACACACACACACCATGTAGTTCTATTTTGTGCCATTTGGAAAACTTTATGTAATTTGTACTATATTGAACATGAGGCTCTGCACATTGCTTTGCTTCCTCTCCCCATCACATTGCCAAGATTACTCGATGTTGTTCCAGTTCAAGGGTCAGCAAGTTTTTTCCATAAAGGGCCAGGCAGCAAATACTCTGGGCTCCGTGGGCCACCGCAGGTCTCCATCACACATTCTTTCTTATTGTTTTTTCCCTTTGTTCTTTTGTTCTCGACCACTCTTTAAAAGTGTGAAAACATACCGTGGCCCACCAGCCATCATTCACCCCTGCACTAGTTCGTTCATTAAAACTGCTAGAGTATCTCGTCATGTGACGATTGCACAATGTATATTCCTCGATCAGCAGATGCCTTGGGGTTATTTACAGTGTCCTGCAATGACCAACTCAATTGCAGTAAACGTCTGGAATCTGCTTTCCACTAACTTCTGAAGCGAGCACTAGTCAGACTGAAAGCCCAGGACTGGGTTCTAGGAGAAACTGGAATTCACAGAGACAGTCTGGAGAAAGAAATAAAAATGCTATGTATGCATGTGTCCAAGTGTGCATGTGTGTTATGTGTGCATGTGTGTTGCATGTATGATGAGTATACATAGCGAGAGAAGATCATGAACAGCCATCCACGCATCACTGTCTATAAGCCCAGTTATACCACCTCAAAGCCTGATTCTCGGTGGCGTCCCTTGGAAGAGTCCAGGCACGCAGGCCACCGCTCACTCGTCAGCTACTCCGGACTGCAGTGAGTTTTTAACTGGAGACTTCCTCCCTCTCTTTCTTGAAATACAGACTCCCAGGCCCAGCCACCTGGTGGAAACATCCCAAGTGACAGTGACCTGTGGCACACAGACCCAGTGGTCCTATATTTTTTCACAATATTTTTATAACAATACACGCATCTGCTACTACCAATCCATGTAGTAAGTATTAGTAAAACAATCTCTTTGTTTAGAGCAAAAGAAATAGAAATAGACATGACAGTATTTTCCTCTTACAAACAAGGGATTCTCTTGTGGCCCCTACTTTGGAGACCCCTGGCCTGCAGGTATCAATAATGAATGAGCGGGTTCCCCAAGACTGCCCACTTCTCCTCTCTCCCTGTCGAGCTCTTAGATCACATTAATCCAAGACAGAATTGCCTGATAACTCCTAAAGTACTCATGCTCTGTTTATACTCAAAATAGTACCATTGAAAAAGACAGGAGCGTGTACACTGTGTGAGAGATCACATGCGTTGTTTTTTTCCCTCACCTAAATGGAGAGCCGTCCTATCTGGTTATCCCACTGTAGGTAAGGGCACCTGTGGGTAAAGCCAAAATCACCCTCAAAAAGGAGCTCTGGGTCTCCCTAGGCAGCTGGACAGGTACTCATGGTTGACCTTCCGATGTTTTCCACCACAAGACAGGTATGTTCAGCTCAAAGAAACAGTTGAGAACAGGTGTTACCACTCACCTGTTTGTCTTCAAAAAGGACTTCAGTCTGAAAAATATATATATTTTTAATTAAAAAGCAAATAAATAAAAGAACCTCAGTCTGGCCCTGTAGAGAAGGCATGAGATTATTTAATATTGTTCATTTGAACATTCGAGATGCCTGTCAGATATAGTAATTCTTGTTTTATTATATACCTAGCCCCAGATGTTCTTCCTGACAAAACAGGGATGTGCCTAATAAGACATGAGAGCCCTGGCCGGTTTGGCTCAGCGGTTAGAGCGTCAGCCTGCGGTCCTGAGTGACCCGGGTTCGGTTCCCGCTAAGGGCGCGTGCCTTGGTTGCAGTTTGTCCCCGGCCCTGGTCGGTTGTGCGGGTGTCAGCCACTCGATGTGTTCCTTTCACATCGATGTTTCTCTCTCTCTCTCTGTTCCTCTCTCTCCCTCCCACTCTACCTGAACAAAAAAAAAAAAAGGAAAAATGTCCTCCGGTGAGGATAAAAAAAAAAAAAAAAAGACATGAGAGGCTGGGTCAGAGCCAGCCCGGATAAGTAGTGGGCTACATGTCCTAGGGCCCCCCCTCTCATAACAGCAAAGCCAGTAGCCATCCCACCTGCACTGCTAACATGACATTGACAAGAGGCCACAAGAAATGGGCCTAAACCATTAAACAAGGTGGGGCAGGGGGTTCTAAAAGCATTGAGAGTAGATTATAAAGTACAAGGGTGTGATACCCTCCCAGCTCAGCCATAGTCCTTGAAAGAATTTTTGAAATCTGGTAGAATCAGTTCGGTGTGTCTTCAAAGCAGGAGTTGGCAAACTACCGCCTGAGGGCCAGACACGGCCCACTTCCCGGCTTTGTAAATAAAGTTTTATTGAAACACAGCCATGCCCATTCATTTACATATTGTCTGTGGCTGCTTTCTGCGACAATGGCAGCGTTGAGTGGTTGCCACAGAGACCATATGACCCACAAAATCGCAAATATTTAGCTCTTTTCAGAAAAAGTGTGCCAACATCTTTCGAGTGTTGTTCATATAATTGCAGTGATCACATCATTCAACATGGGGGAAAAAAAATGGGTTTTCTCCTCCCCTCAAGTAATATTCAGATCCAAGTAGATTAGCATTAACCAAACACCCTGATGTTCTATGGCTTTTCTCTCTATTTTCTCCCTTAGCCTGGTGATTTTATCCCAGTTCATAGATGAGAAAACTCAGGAAGGTCCCAAGGTCCCGAGTGAGTAAGCAGTGAGACCAGCATTCGCCATTAGACAGGCTCCCTTATGGAAAAAGATAATAAAAACATTTCAGTTCATTATGATACTGTAGATGGCTTTATTACTACTGAGAATTGAACTGAGAGAGCTGTACTTCCCTCTCTGACATCTAAAAATAAAGGAAATAAAACTAATGACATTGAAAGTAATAAAAAATGTAAATGAAATTATTTTTACTGCCAATTTTGTTGTTTAAATTACGCATTGATGACATTGAGGGGATGCATAATTCTCCCCTAGGACCATCCCAAGGTCCTAGGCAAGCTGGTGTCTCCGTTATGCTGTGTCTGTGGGTTTGTGTGGGGCTCTGTGGTGTGCACAGTCAAGTTCAAGGAAGAGTACTGTCCTAAAACCTTTTTAAACATTGTCCTAGGCTTAATTAATTAGCAATAGCAGGAATGTAAAAGAACAGAACAGATGAACCATGTTAACGAGTACCAAAATTAAATGTCTGTACCTTGGGAAGGATGGAGCATTGAACTATAACCTCAATCACAGGAAAGAAGTTTAAAGAGGCGATTATGATGAGCAAAATAAAATACTTTTGCCCTGGCTGGGTGGCTCAGTTGGTTGGGGCATTGTCCCATACACCGAAAGGTTGCAGGTTCGATTCCTGGTCAGGGCACATACCTAGGTTGTGGGTTCAATCCCCAGATGGGAGGCAACCAGTAGGTCTCTCTCTCTCTCTTCCTCTTCCTCCCTCCCTCCCTTCCTCTCTCTCTAAAATCAATAAAAACATATCTTCAGGTGAGGATTTAAAAAAACACTCATGCCCTGACCAGTTTGGCTCAGCGGTTAGAGTGCTGGCCTATGGTCCGGAGAGACTCGGGTTCGGTTCCCGCTAAGGGCATGTATCTCGGTTGCAGTTTGTCCCCGGCCCTGGTCGGGTTGTGTGGCTGGCAGCCCCTCGATGTGTCCCTTTCACATCAATGTTTCTCTCTCTCTCTCTCTCTCTCTCTCTCTTCTCCCCCCCCCCCCCCCATCTGAACAAAGAAAATAGAAAAAATGCCCTCGGGTGAGGATAAAAATAAATAAATAAATAAATAAACAAACACTCACAAGTCTAATGCTTTTTATTAAGGTATTATTTGCATTCCATAAAATTCACGCATTTTAAGCGTACAGTCGGATGACTTTTGGTAACTCTACACAACTATACACACCACAATCAAAAAAGCACCCCTTTGCTGTTGATCCCTTCCCCCAATCCAGACCCTCATTGATCTGCCTTCTCTAAAAGTCTTGTCTTTTCTAGAAGCTTCTGTAAATGGAATCATACCAGCCAGGTTGTTGAGAGTATCACTGTTTTGCTCTTCTTTATTGTGAATGTGTTATGAGCAGAGACAGGGCCCGGAGAAGCATCAGCCCCAGGCACAGCATGCAGGCCTCTGCTGGAGACTACCTGGGTCGTGCTTTGCAGCGGAGTCTGGTCCCTTACAGTGGTACAACTTCACGGACTTTGTATGTGCCATGCACGTGCGAAGCTCAGAGCTTTGCATAAATTATATAGACGATCTCATGCAATCAGCTTAACTGTTCTAGGAAGTAGCATCATTTACGTTATAGTCTAAATTGACTTAAAACAGAATTGGCGACTTTCTCATTTAGTGGGTCTTAATTCAACCAAAATTTTTTCTGTTTTTCTCAATGAACGAAATTATTATTTTAAGTTCTTGGTACCACACTGGAAAGTATTTTTAAATAAAATTAGTGAGGCCACCCTGGCCGGTTTGGCTCAGCGGTTAGAGCATCAGCCCATGGACCAGAGAGTCCCAGGTTCAGTACCCGCTAGGGGCACGTACCTCGGTTGCAGTTTGTCCCCAGCCCCGGTTGGGGTCATGTAGGTGGCAACCACTCGATGTGTCTCTTTCACCTCGATGTTTCTCTCTATTCCTCCCTCTCTCCCTCCCACTTTATCTGAAGATAAATGCAAAAGTGTCCTCAGGTGAGGACAAAAAAAAAAAAAAATTAGTGATGCCATTTAATATGTTCTTTTCATGTCCTTCTTCAAATGTCGGTGAATCTACAGAATACAATTTACTACCACATTACTAGACAAGTAACCAAAGAGTTTAAGGCAATGGTTGCAAAGGCCATGGAAACTGCAAGTGAAATAAAGAAACTAAATGAGCCTGGCAAGTGTGTCTCTGTGGATTAAGGGCCGTCCCACAGACTGAGAGGTCCTGGTTCGACTCCCAGTCAGGGCACATGCCTGAGTTGCGGGCTTGATCCCCAGGAGGGGGCGTGCAGGAGGCAGCTGATCAATGTTTTTCTCTCCCATGGATGTTTCTATCTCTCTCTCCCCTCTCTGTCTCTCCAAAATACCAATAAAAACATATTTTTTAAAAAAAGAAGAAAGTAAATGCATTCAGAATACTCCTAACTGCAAAAAAATTCAAACAACATAAAGGTCCCTGGTTTAGCAAATACCAACCAAAAATTGCACCTGAATTAACTTTTTAATGTCCATGGCCCTGTTAAAACAGCTTTAACCCTTAACCTTCTTTATATCACCTTATTTGTACTTGAGTTGCATTACAAAGACTTTTTATCTCGAATTTTAAAATGTTACTTTAAATTTTCCAGATAAATGACAGGTTCAATCTCTAGAAGCCACGGGGTGCAGAGTCGATGGATGAGTTTTACACACAGATCCACCCCTCAACAGGTTTTGAATGAAGAGGCCCAAGCCCTGCAGAGTAGCCCATCATAGTGCTAGCCATCAATTCGTTCCGAAACGAACTGCACATACATTTCATCTGAGGTTCACCTTTCCACATTTTCATTTCTTTGACATTGACAAAAGATTTGGTTCCCTGTTCACATTCAAGGTACGATGATAATAATGAAGCAAAAATGTCTGGGAACAAGCTGTTTCCACTCATGCTATTATCAGGCAGAATAGAAGACCCTGGGCTAGTGCGCAGCCTAGAGAATAACCGAACCTTCAGCAACTGCCGTAAACTGGTAAGACAGTTCAGGACATGAAGGTGGCTGGTGGGGCCGTGAGCCAAACACAGGCAGCTTCTGGAGCTAGAAAGGTCAAGGGAGTGGCTTCTCCCGCTGGAGCCTCCAAGAGGAACTCAGCCCTGCCAGCACCTTGATTTTAGCCACATGAGACCCATTCTGGACTTCTGACCTCCATAACAGAACGTGTGTTGTTTAAGCCACTAAGTCTGTGGTCATTTGTTACGGCAGCCACAGGACACTCATACACCATGGCTGAACAACCACCAAGAGGTATCTTGTTCTTGTCTGTGACCAAATACATATATAGCCCTGGCCGGTTTGGCTCAGCGGTTATAGCATCAGCCCGCGGACCAGAGAGACCCAGGTTCGATTCCCGCTAAGAGCACGTACCTCAGTTGCAGTTTGTCCCCGGCCCCAGTTGGGGTTGTGTGGGTGGCAACCAGTCGATGTGTCTCTCTCACATCGATGTTTCTTTCTCTCTCTCTCTCTCTCCCTCCCTCTCTCTCTCCAGCTCTATCTGAAGATAAAAATGCAAAAAAAAAAAAAAATGTCCTCGCCCTGGCTGGTTTGGCTCAGCAGTTAGAGCGTCGGCCTGTGGTCGGGAGAGGCCCCGGTTCAGTTCCCGCTAAGGGCATGTACCTCAGTTGCAGTTTGTCCCCAGTCCTGGTTGGGTCGTGTGGGTGGCAACCACTCGATGTGTCCCTTTTACATCGATGTTTCTCTCTCTCTCTCTCTTTGTCTCTCTCCCTCCAGCTCTATCTGAATAAAAAATGGAAAAATGTCCTCGAGTGAGGATAAAAAAAAAAAAAAATGTCCTCAGGTGAGGATAAAGAAATATATATGTGTGTGTGTGTGTATATAATATACATATATATAATATATACACATATATATGTATGTGTGTGTATGTATGTGTGTGTATGTGTGTGTGTGTGTGTGTGTATATATATATATGTATATCTGGGACAATCATCAATCTCTAATCTACCAAGTCAAATTGTTCATAAAATAGCCAAGCTCCGAGCCAATGTACAAGAGATGGGGCTCCATGGTGGCAGAGGTAATAGCTGCTGGTGGTATGAGATGAGATGTTTGGGCATCAAGCATTTTCAGAGGCTAGTTTTTTAAGACATAAACCAGCAGAACTCTTCCTTCTCTCTTCAAATGCTATGCTTACGGAAAAATGTTCCCCGGGCAGCGCAATGTTTATAAATGCATTAATTGCAACCTGTCAGTCATGTATCTAGTATTCAGCTAGAATGTTTTGAATCGAGTTGCAATATTCCTTGACTTAAACTCTGAATCTTTGCCATTCAGGTCTGTGAGAACTCCTGACATCTGATGCTTGACTACCAAGTTTCCATAGCAACAGGAAAAAAAAAATCCAAATCTGAAGATTGCCGTTTACAGCTCTCGAACTTCACAACTAGGCCTCAATTGCTCCAGATTTTCATTTTCTTTGCAATTTCACTTAGTCTGTACGTCACCATTTTGACAGCATCTTCCTTTTGCCTTTAATTAATGGACTCCTCTGAATTTTCCCTGAATGTTTAAAGATCATGGCATATAACTTGACCTTTTGGGAGCAGGAACAATGACTACTTTTTCTGATGTGTTCATGTTGCTAGTCAGCACTCCGCACATTCAGCTTTGTCTGTGGGTTAGTATCTGTATATGTATGAGTATCTGTGTGTGTACGTCCCCAGTATTTATAGAGCGAGACTGGACGGGAGAAGCCTAGTTTTGATGCGTCCGTCTTCCTTGAGAGGCTAAACAAAGAAGGGATAGAAGCCGCGGCAGCTGAGCCCCCAGGGCCTCCGCAGCAGACTAGGCACAAGCACTGACCACAGAGCTGATGCTTCTCCAACGTCCCACTCAGTCTGGATGCTGCCGTGAGCACCAGGCAGATCCGCAGAGAGGGAGCGCAGAGACAGAAGTCCTTTCTCTTCAGTCTGAGAACAGCAACCAGTTTTCACTGCCATCATATGCCGTGATCCTGAGCAAAAGTGGTGAGGAACAGAGCAGGAAATGTTACCATCAAATGCTGAGCGAAGGGCTGAAATATTCGTTCATGGGCATCTGTCTGCATTTGCATGTGTCCTAAATCCACAGTCCTGCTGTGGATTTAGTTCTTATGGGGACACGGATCATGGCAGAGAACCTCTCCCCCCTTGGTATATTAACAATGGCAAGTGTCATCACGGAGGTCACACGTGCACATGAAGAGGTTGACAGATACCGTGTGTATACATATATATGCCCACATGTATAGACATACACTTATGCACATACACACCGTTTGTTTCATATACATGCATAAAATAGAGTAAATACAGGTAGTTTTAAAAGTACCCTTTTGTGTGAGTCGACTACAGTTGTTTGCAGACCTAAAAATAAAAGACGTTCATTATGTATAAAAAGTAATTGATTTTTATTCTGTGAGCATGTAAAAGTAAGAGGAAAGTTAGTGCTTGTACTCAGATTATCTTCTTGTTGATGAATTGTAAATGAACCATCAAAGCTCACACCAAATTTTTCTATCAGATAAAACTAGCGACAGCCTGTGGCTTTTTCTTAGAGCTCGCCACCGACTAGGGTAAGTGTCTTAGCATATTTTAATGCAGTTGCTAACTAAAGGTTTTAACCACGCACACACACACATGCACACACACGCTTTCTTATGCAATCTCTGTTGGCATCTGTGCTTTTCAGTTCGCCTTCTGTAGGAAGTAGAAGTCATATGTTGTCTTTATTGTAGTAAAATTATGCAGATAGAGTTCCATATATTGTATTTGTTTCGATAGTAAATCTTTTTGGAGCATATAGAATGCAGAGATTTTTTTTCCCTCCATTCAAATAAATGGGTATTGGTGGTTAAACCTGCTGGACAATAGCTTTTCTCTGGTTTCTATGTTGTGTCTACTGTCGCTGATGCGGAGTCTTGTGTTAGTGCGAGTTCACATTTTGGGCCTCTTGGGCTCCCCCGTACATCTCGTTAGGTGAGTGCGTCTGTACATCCAGAAGCACCTGCTCGCAGCTTGGGCAATGCTCTCGCCTCGTCCACCGTCATGAATGATTTCAGCTATGAAGAGGATTGCGTATGTACAGAAGTTACCCTCAGTTTGATGACTGCATGACACACAGCCACACCATCTGCCTACAGTCCCAGGACATGGGTACTTTTTCTCTCAAACAATACCTGTTGCTCAGTCAGGAGATGCCACACCCTGAATATGACATAATGGTTCTCCATGAGTGCACAGAGCAGGCTCAGGGGCAGGGGGACCCAAGCCTGCACATTCATACTTGACGGGACTTCCTCTTCTGGCTTGATAGGACACAGCCTCCTGTCCCCCTGGTGGACCCACGCCCCTCTTCCCACAGGCATGGGGAGAATGGTCAGCCTGGGACAAACCGAGCACCATCCTCAGATGGCCAGGTGCTTGGCAGCCTGACCCACAGACTAGCTCACTGAGAATCCCAAAGCTCACTCTTCTTCATGAGCCTGGGCCATCCCTAAGGACAGATGCAGATGGCAAGTGACCCATTCACTCAAGTAAACAAGTGAGGCCTCTCCCTTTTCTCTCAAGCTAGTAGGCTCTCCTGAACTTTGGGTATTTTTCCCTTGAAAAAGAGAAATCAAGCCAGTGAATTAACTTAAAACACAGAAAAACAGGAGTCAAGTGCATACCTCATTAACAAGTCAAATAGGCCTTTATTTTCCTCTTTTAAGTGTATTCCCTGTCCCCAGAGTTCTTATCAGGATAGAGATATTTCTATCGTGTTTTCTTTTTAATCCTTCCACACACACAAAAAGACCAATTCTTAGAAGCCTAAGTGGTAGTATGTCCTGAATTATAGGATTTTTTTTTTAACTTGCTAGAATGCATTAACTTTGCTGAAAGCAAAAGTATAATCCAAACATTGTATCATTATTATCAATGCATTTTATTTTAGTCCGAGTTATTGAAAAAAGAAAAAGAAAAAGTCAAGTAAGAGCTAGAAATTGCTTTTCCCAATGACTGAGCACAAGACTGAGGATTTTGTTTCTATTGAGTGAACAGTGACACTTTCTTTGCTTTTTATTAACACATCAACCACATTAGTTCATTAAAAGTGACTTTTCCCCCATTTTACCTAGGATAAATTCATTATTTCCGATCACTTACCTTAACAAGAACATGCAAACATTTTCTAATTTTGATACGAGTTACCTTAATACTGCCAGTTCTCGCCTAACAAATATCATTTCCAGAAGATGAACCTGCCCTCTCAGCCAACACCTGCAGATCTGAACATCCTAACAAAATAAATCCAGCTACATTTCATGGTAGGTAGCAAATAAGACTTTGGCTCTTACAGAACAGTTTTAGAAATTTTGATAACTTATCCCCCAGAATTTCAAAATGTCATTTTAAGCCTTCTGTTAAATGAAATAGCCATCTACTATCAGACTCTTGAAATTGCATTTCACCAAAATAAATACATTGGATCTTGACCTTAAGATGTGGCAAGTGAAAAAGTATGAACAAGGTTCTGCTTGAGGCTGGGTTTGGTGCAATTGTACCGAAACGCTAACTACCCAGGTGATTCTGAAGAAAATGGTCTATAGTTCTCCTGGCGTGAATGAACAAGGTACAAAAATGCAGTTGATGATGATGATGATGATTTACATTTATTAATTCTTTATTATGGTGTCCACACCATGCAATTAACTCCTTGAATCTTTACAACAGCCTTATGAGGCAAGTCCTATTTTCTTCTCCAACTTACAGATATAGCTGAGGCTCAGAAAAACCAAATGGGCTTCAGGTAAGTGGCCTTCAGAACCAGAACCCTAGGCCCACATGGTTCCCACTGTCGCACAGTGCCACTGCCAACTCTGCAGCAGAATCAGACAAAACGTCTACCAGGAAACCCTCATCTGAACCCCACTTGGCGTGACTATCTACCCAGACCAACTAAACTGACCTTCTACATTTTCTTCATTCTAAGAACTTTCAGATAAGAACTCATAACACTGTTCTAAATTAATATTGCAACCTTAGGACTTTTTCCTGTACAAGATATTACAGTTTTCCTGAGTATTTCCTCCCATCCCTTCCATGGCTTGTTAGCAGATACATGAGGGGCTTCTCCCAGATTAATTAGATATCTCAGTTATCCTAAAGAAATGTCATGTTCTTGCAAGGACCCAGTCACAGCCAAACCAGCAAGGGGAGGAAAAGTTGAGGGAGAAAGTGGTGTGGGATGTTCAAGAGCTCGTACTGTGCTCAGCTGTAAACAACTTCTAAAGGCTCTTCCAGTAGTTTCTGATTTTGTAAATACAGCACATTAATCTATCCATATGTAGATGATTTAAGCATGCATCAACAGGTAAATCACGCCGAGAAGGTGAGCACCGAGACTAAACCACCTTTTCTGTTTAACTGCTATATAATATAATAATAACAATAACCTAATAACCTGGCTACACCTTTTCACAAAGGCGGCACATCCCACCTTCTCTTCTTACCTGGCTGTTGAGATTGTCTCATATTCTGATGATAAGATGCTTTCATAATTGTCCATCTAAAGCAATTAACAAAGTTTGTGCTATGTAAAATGTGTTGCTCTTATTACATTTCCTATGGCTAACAAAAAAAATCTATAGCTTCAACCGTGTTTATAGAAAAGCATATACGCAGTATGTAAAGACAGAACAAAATGGCAGGAATGAATGTGTGAACGAGGATTTCCGACGAGAGCTTTAATTCCATCAAGTAAGAATGAGTCTATAATTTAAGCAGAAATAATTTAGCGACTGATCAAATTCAGTAGGCAGAAAAGCATCTTCCCATCACTCCTGCTACATCACGATGTTAGCATTACTGGTTGGAGGGTTGCTGAGCCTGATAAATCTTTGAACCATTTGACGTGGCTCCCAAGTGCTAGCTGAGAAGCAATGGGTGTAGCCAGCTATTGATGTCCACTATGAAGCCCCGAACCCTTCAGAAAATGGCTCAGAGAAGCACTAGGACTATAGGCTGAAAATGTTTCATTGTCTGCTACTTTTTTAAAGCTTTTTCTTTAGAAAGTAATAGTATGCCTCTTTATTCAGAGTATTAAAGAGTTGAAAGCGAAGGCTATATGAAAAAAATTGTGTTGTCATGCGTACATCAACACTGTTCTGTTGTTAAACATTAACACCAAGATAAAGATATGATTACCCCGAGATAAAAAATATGCAGAAATTTTAAATCCATTTTTTTCCACAAACATACAAAAGGGATAGAGTTTGTCATTTTAAAAGATTTAATTCTATTGCAGACGCAGTTCCTTTGGGCCCTAGTTGCTGAATTGCTTACAGTTTCTGAGCTGTAAATTAACATTTGATTTATTCTGTAGTTGTAAAGAAATGTGTAACTTGTTTGTAAAATACTCAAATAAAGGTTATCTGGGATTTTTAATGTGTGTATTTGGTCTTAGACCATCTTTAGTACAGTTTAAACACAGTGACAGAGCGAAGGTATATTTTTTCAGATGGTGTTCTGGTTGGCCTAGAATGGCTGAGCACCAAGACTAAAACCAATTCTGCCTCCCTAATAATGAACTCTTTTCCTTTCTTCTTTCATAACAGTCAAATCCCCTGGTTTGGGGAAAAAACAGATAGTAATAGATTAAATTAGATTTGGATTAGATTAGATTAGATTAGATTAGATTGATTGATTATAGATGATTGAGTGATGATAAACTGATTGATAATAGATTATAGATTGATTGATTAATGACAGACAGATTGATTAATGATAGAAAGATAGATGATAAAGAGATCAGTGATAGATTGATTAATAATAGATATGATAGATGGATTGACTGATGATAGATAAATAATAGATTGATGATAGGTGATTAATTGATGATAGATTGATAGGTGATAGATAGATAGATAGATAGACAGACAGACAAAAAGAAGATTACTTTAGTGAGATCCTTAACAAAAGGAGGGAAAGGGTGCTAATATTTAATAAGTGCCTCCTATGAGCCAGATGTTTTACATATTTATATGTAAGGGTTTGAAGAGACTGGAAAGGGTTAAAGTGCCCAGTAGAAGGACGAGGCATCCTATCCTGAAACTGCTGCAGTTGTGTGATTCTCAGCAGCAGCACTCAGAAACCTGGGAGAAAAGCAGGTGCACCGAGGCTCCGACCAGGGTTGGGTCAGAGCAGAGCTGATGCAGGTACAACTAGGGAAAGGCTGAATTAAAAGTCCTCTAGCCCGGCCAGTGTGGCTCAGTGGTTGAGCATCAACCCATACACCAAGAGGTCGCCGGTTCGATTCCCGGTCAGGGCACATGCCCAGGTTGTGGACCCAATCCCCAGTGCAGGGCATGAGGGAGGCGACCAATCGATGTTCTCTCATCAATGTTTCTCTCTCTCTCTCTCCCTCTCCCTTCCTCTCTCTAAAATCAATAAAAAAAATTTTTTAATAAAAAAAAATAAAAGTCCTCTAAGGCCCTGCAATGATCATTCCTTCTCAGGCAAACACACACATCTCAGCGCAGTGTAGACGCCCGGGTCCATTAACCCCTCCCTTAGTGCAGATCTGCAAAAGGAGTGTGGAGAGAACGGCCCACTTGCACCAAAGAACGATGATAAAAGTACCAAATTATGTTCATGTAAAACCAAGCCGTCTTGAAAGGGGAAAAGAGAATTACTTCCGTTACACAATTAGTCTAGAAAGCGCTATTTAAAAAATGCTAAGAGAAGACAGGACAACTATGACACTTAAAGGTTTCAAACGAAGGTTATTCCAAACCGGAGTTTTAAAGGTTAATTACCAGTGCCCTACACATAATACAGTAGTTTTGTTAATGGAACAATATTCAGTTAGGTTCGGTGTGTCAACCCTACAAAGTAGATCAGCCATAACTATAAATTAATGAAGATTTTGGTTACAGCAGCTGTTTAAAAGACCTTGGTCACCATGCAAAGAGACTATGCTGTCTTTCTAAATACGGAGAAAAAAAAAGTATCAAGTTTGCCTGCTGTTTATTTAAAGAAAATTTCAATTCAGATAAAAAGTCTTCAAGTCTCCTGCCACACACACACACACATACACACACACACACCTCCAGATCTCAGGGTTAATTTGTGTTCTGTGTTGCTCACAGCCATAAGCCAGATGTGGCTAGACATCTGGGTGTGGGTGTCCAAACTTCTAGGCTGGGTGTGGTAGCACCAGTGTTTGGGGTCCAAAGTGAAAAGGCCTGAAATCCCATCCAGTACTGACTACTCATTAGCTAAATGATTCTGGAGCTTCACGTCAACACTTGATAAAATACCAGGTACGATACAAATTTAAAGTGGTATGACTTTACTAACTCTTATGGGTTGAATCTGTCCCCTCCACACTCCCCCCCCCCAAAAGACATGTTGAAGTCCTAACCCTCAGAACTTAAGAATGTAGCCTTATTTGGAAACAGGGTCTTTGCAGATATAATTAGTTCGGATAAGGTCATAGTGGAGGAAGGTGGGCCCCTACTCCGTAAGAAGAAGAGAGACACACATGGGAAGACAGAAGAGGAGACTGGAGTGACGCAAGCTAAGGACCATCAAGAATTGCTAGCAGTTACAGCAGCTAAGAGAGAGGCACAGAACAGATTCCCCTCAGAATCTTCGTAAGGAACCAACCCTGATGACACACTGATCTCAGATTTCCAGCCTCCAGAGCCGTGAGACAATACATTTCTGTTATTTTAAGCTGCCCACTTTGTAGTGGTTTGTTACAGCAGCCCTAAGAAATCCACACACCATCCTTCAATCTCAATATGTACAGAGGAAATTTCTCAAGAAATGGTCCAAGAAAAAATAAAATAATCTATGAAGAAGAAGTGAACAGAATCCTAGGCAATGTTCCTAGATTCCTCTAAAACCAGTGGTTCTCTGCTAAGGGTGATCCCCACCCCTGCCCACCCACACTAGGAGAGCTTGGCAGTGTCTGGAGATATTTTTGGTTGTCACAGTACAGTAGGGGGATGCCACTGGCATCTACTGGGTAGAAGTCAGAGAGCTGCTCCACATCCAACAATGTACATGGCACACTGCACCCCCTACAACAACAAAGAATTACCTGACCCAAAATGCTAGTGGTGCCGCTGGCTCTAAACTCAGACAACTCAGAGAAGTCTAGAATGATAGAAAATAAACTCAGACAACTCAGAGAAGTCTAGAATGATAGAAAAATAAGAAGGTAGAGTCAGAAAGTCCTGGGTACTGCCTAATTTGACTTCCTGGTTTAAGAGTTTCACCCCCTTTGTGTCAGTTTTCTCAAAATTGTAAAATGGTGATAATTATATCACGGGGTTCTTCTGAGGATTAAGTTAAAACACTGAGAGATGTTTATCTTAAGTGATCAGATAAAGCACTAACCAAATACCGGTTAACACCCAATGATAAAGACTTTTGCCCCTTTGGCATGGGAAGGAAGATGGGGTGGGGGGTGCAGGAAGGGGATACAGGTGAAGGAGGGTGAAGTTGGGGGCAGGGAAGGAAGTTGGGTGAAGAGAGTTGAGTCTCATGCCCCGCATGGCCAAAGCCCCAAGTTTGTTACAAACACTGGTGTGTTCCTTTACGGCCTCTGGACATGCCAGGCCTTCAGTCAAGGATTCTCCTACCCCTTGCCAGTGAGACCCACTCCCCAGACTACCTGTGGGGCTGGAACTTGAGGTCCCAACTCAACAGCGCCCCCTTCTTAAACAAGCAAATCCAGTCTCTTAATCTGCACACCGCTCCCTCGTTGACCAAACTCAACACCTTGGAACATCATCATGTTCAGTGAAAGAAGCCAGGCACGAAGAAGGCCTTGCTGTCTGATTCCATGTGTATGACGTTGAAACACAGGCAAAACGAACCTATTGTGTTAAAAGTCAGGGCGCTGGTTACCCTGGTGGGTGAGTGGGTGGGGTGAAAGGAAACGGGATGAGGGGTTTTCGGGGGGCACTGGTCATGTTTCTTGACCTGGGGCGGTTACAAGATTGTGTGGACTTCGTGGAAAGTAGTTTAGCATTTCTGCACCATCCAGAACGTATTTTATAATTAAATTAAAAGCTAAAAACAACCTGCCCCAGTGCGCCTGCACCTCCACTCAACCCTCACAGGGAGAAGAGAAAACACTGGGGTCCAGAGCCTAACCAGACCCCCAGCTAGGCAGCTGTGAGCCTGGTGGCCGCGCCCTGGGACCTGCTTCCCCTCCAGGTGTTTGTGGGGTTTTGTTGGAGCACAGGCGGCGGCACAGGCTGGGTTTGGCACCTCGCAGGCGCCCAACAGGTGCGTACCGACGCCGCCAAAGAAAACCAGCGAGGCCTTTAACAACAGCCTGGGAGGAGGTCAAGGCCACCCCTTCTACCGTTCGCCCCACTGCGCAGTTCGTTTCCCTTTCTTCCACGAGGCTGAATGCGGGGCGTGGCTAGGGCGGGGCTGGGGAGGGGTGGGGAAGTTCTGGGTGGGCGGAGCAAGGCGGGCGGGGGCGGGGCCTCGCTCGGAACGGAAGCAGGAGACCAAAGGCCTTTCCGGCGCGGGACGCCGACTACAGCTCCCACAACACCCTGCGGTCGCGCGCCTGGCATCTGTCGTCGCGAGAAGAAGCCGCTGGGGGCGTCTGCGCCGATAAACGGAAGTGTTGGTGACGGTCTGAGGAATCACCGCCAAGCTGGGAACCGGGGAGATGGCCGAGACGGACCCCAAGACCGTGCAGGATCTCACCTCGGTGGTAAGGGACGGCTGTGTGCTCCCGAGGCCGCGACATGCCGGGGCGGCGCCGGCAAGACCCGTGGACCCAGACGTCTTCTCTGTGGCCGTGCGGGTCCGGATCTCTAGAGGCCGTGTTTCTAGAGGCTTCGCCCGCCGAGGCCTGTGGCCACCTTGACCACCCTCCCCGCCCGGGGCCGCTGGGTGTAGCCCCTGCGCCTGCTGACGTCCCCAGGCCCGACCCCCTGCCCCACTCACCTGTCCCTGACCGCACCCTCGAGTGACCCCCGGTCCCCGCCCGCTTCAGCCCCACCCCTCTCAGCTCTCCACGCAGCCCGCCCGTCCCCGCCTGTCTCAACCCCGGTGCCTCCAAGCCGTCAAAATACCAAGAGACCCAACACATTTTGAATGGCAGCGGGGCCCAACGGGAGGGGCTTCGCCACCCCGCGGTCTAATTTGACGGACGGGAACCCTGATACCCGGAGAGGGCAGTGCCTTGGGGAATGAAGGCCACCGAGCTGCCAGAGGCTGGACCGGGCCGGAACCTGGGGTCCTAGTCCCGTCCCCCCTCCCCCAGCAGGGTTCCTGCCCCCCCCCCCCGCGTAGGTGCCGCGGGGTAAGCGTGGGGCGTTCTGTGTTGTTGTTTCCTAGGTGCAGACACTCCTGCAACAGATGCAAGATAAATTTCAGACCATGTCCGACCAGATCATTGGAAGAAATATCCTTTATATTTGTAGTCAGCCTCTCGTGGGTGTTTGGATCCTATTTACTCAGTATCGGTGTTGATAAATGGACGGTGTTCAGGCCAACTTCAGCTAGTCCTCCCCCACCCCACCCCAATTTTTTTTTTTTTTTTTTTTTTACTGAGTTTGTGTTTACTCTTCTTGAGAAGTAGTGTATGAAGAGCTGGGAATACAACTGAGCTAGATGTCGGACCTCAAGAAACGTACAGTCTACCATAGTCATGTCTAGTGTGATGGACTGTTGACTGTGAGCTGAATATGTTCCGTGTTTCTTTCCTGCAATCCTCACCATAACCTGATGAAGAAACTAATAGTGTTGACCTTTATTTAGCGAGTGAAAAAAACAGAAACCCAGAAAAGTAAAACAACGTGCCCAGATCCCAGAACTAGTAAAGGGCAGGGCTGGGATTTGTTCCTTCCCCCTGATCCCTGGACTCTTCCCCAGATTACAGTCATGCCCTGCTTAACAACAGGAGTATAGTCTGAGATATGTGTCGTTAGGTGTGATTTCATCCTCGTGCAAACATACTAGAGTGTCCTTACAGAAACCTAGATGGTGCGGCCTATGCATACCCAGGCTATATATGGTATACCAGCCTCTTGTATTTGGCCCGTCATTGACAGAAATGTCGTTAATAACGTGACTGTCCAAAGGAAATTGGAAAACCAGTGTCATTAAGACAGTTGTGTTTAAGGCTGAAGTCTAGTGGGCCCTGAAGGAAAAGGATAGAAATGGGAGAGACATTCATTGGTCTTTAACATCACCACTTGATGACATGAGTAGTCGCATTGATGACCTGGAGAAAAACATTGCAGACCTCATGACACAGGCTGGGGTAGAAGAACTGGAAGGCGAAAACAAGATACCTGCTACTGCTACACAGAAGAGTTGAAGGTGAGGGAAGGGGCTGTGGTGCTGTTAGTATCATTTGATGGATCATTTTCCCAGTTTTCATTCCTTAGACCTATGTCCCCATTAGTTAAAACCATTGATTCACATTAGATATCCTTTGAGTTCATATCATTACAGCCAAAAACAGAGAAATGTGTTTTGTTCAAAATTCTTATCACTGGCAGATTTTTTATGGATTTTTTGTTTTGTTTTGTTTTTTCAAAAAAGATAAGCACCCGCTGCATTGCCACCTACATAAATGCCTCAAATTCTAAGGATTCTTTTGGGGGCACTTACTGTACTCAGTAAATGCCAGGACTTAGATTAACTAGATTATGGCTACATTAAGCTTCCACCCTAGAGTTGATTTAAATTTCGACTTTATAGTTTGAGATATCAGAGGAAAGACTAATAAGCAAAAATACCCAGATAACAAGAGAGGCAGCGGCACAGTTGGCTGACTGCCTTATTCTCACCATAATGGGTTTCCATTGTAACCATTTTCATGAGTCTGGTGGTTACCTCGTTGCTACCCAAAAATAAGTTTTGTTTTGTTGTTTATCTTCACCCAAGGACATTTTTTCATTTTTTGTTTAGATAGAGTGGGAGGGAGGGAGAGAGAAACATCGACGTGAAAGGGACACATTGAGTGGCTGCCTCCTGCACGACCCATCCAGGGCTGGGGACAGACTGCAACCGAGGTACATGCCCTTAACGGGAACTGAACCCGGGTCTCTCTGGACTGCAGGCCAACGCTCTAACCACTGAGCAAAACTGGCCAGGGCCAAAAATAAGTTTTAAACGTCCTTTTCTCCCTTCCCATTTTTAGCATTTTAATTCCCTATAAAAATAAAGTTCCACTGAGAACTTTTGGGTAACTAGAGTACCATGCAGAATATACAGTAAAAGACACCATATTTCTTTTTTTACTTTCTGGGCGTGTCCTGGTTGGACCAAATTGTAAGTTACTATGGAATACAAGTTGCTTAGAAGTAACAAGATAAATTGATTGGGTTGATTCTGTGTGTGAGTAAATCACATAATTGTTTTGTGTGGATTGTCATCTTTAATCCTATATAGAGGCAATTTGGAAAATATCCTGCCAGTCTTAGAAGCTCTCAAGTCTCAGAAATCCCTTCAAGTGAATGAGAACATCCTTTTTGAGGATTGAAGACTTTGAGTTACAGGGATGATACAAAGAAAGGAGTGAGAGGAGGAAATGGATTCAGAAGTTTCTTTAATAAAGATTTCCAATTGTATTTCTGCTAGAATGTTGTGCACAGAAAATAAGTTTAGCTCAATAGATGGTTCTGAAAGGATTTTAGTTGATAATTCTAAGTATCATTTTATTTGTCCTTATATAATGAATAACATGTTAATGGATTTTCCTTTTTCAATAGGTTGCTAATTTACACTGGAATCTGGAGCATTGTTTTTACAAGCCAAGAGAAGACCGTATGGCTTTTTGCAACTAATTACTATGTTGTGAAGTGTGCATTCTTCTTATTATATACTATATAGTTAGTTGATAGAGTGATTTCCCCCTTCCCCTGTTTCTTGAACATGGTAACTTCACATCTTGAATCTTGGTCAGTTGTGCTATTAAATATTAAACACTAAAACTTTGGCGGTTCCTGCATAAAATTGTCAAATTTTTTAGTGTATTTTTGTGAAGTAATTTTTTTCCTATCGTTCCTTTTGTAGTAGTTGCTGTTTGATAAAAGTTGCTGTGTAATTTTTTTCTATTAGACATATAGTAGATTATTCCTTTATAATTAGACTTTGTAAAGTAAGACATTTATAGAGTTTAGGGTTCTTTAATTCTCATCAGAGTGATGAACTAACACCAAATAGTGTGTTGGTGGAAAAATATTTGTTGGTTACAAATATTTTAAAATTGTTTATTCAGAAATACCAGGCACTATTCTGTTACCAAAACTCAAACTTGAACAGTAATTTTATGTCTGTCTTTGAGGTCAGATGCTAAAGTAATGAATAGTAACCACTGCCACTTTAGTATGAGAATTTTTAAATATGAAAAATGACAATTGCCTGATGTGATGAGGCATTCATTAGTTAGAGTTTTGCATGAGATTTGAATACTTCAGTAGGACCCTACATTGTTCATCTACGATAGTGACCATGCAAAATCTGGCAGGATTTGAAAACTCAGTTACTCCATCTTTTCTTTGAGCTACTGATTAGAAAAAGGAGTGAAAAGGGAAACAGACCATAAGTAAGTCCATGCCAGTTGCTTCACTAGAAAATAATAAATGACTTGTAGTAGGCCCCAGTTTTTAAGAAATACTGTTTCTTTAAACTATTTCTTACCTAAATTCTTAGAGTAATGGCTTTATTATTCATTATAGAAGACGGGTAACTCTTGCCGCTCAGAAATGTAGTGTCGGGAATGCTAAGCCTGGGAGGCCGATACTGACTAAAGGAGATCCATGTGATTGTCACAGCAGATGATTTTGTGTAGACAAGGCTGAGGAATGGTATGGTGCCTCAAAGGAACATCCTTAATACAGTATGATTTTTTTAAGTTTCCTATCTCACCAGTCTTGATTGTTTTTGTATTGCAAATATATAATATTAAGTAATTTTTCCTATTTATAAATTATATAGAGAACGCAAAGGAGTAAATTTCTTCTGTGTTAAGATGAGTTAACCACTGTTAATTATGCAGCTGTAGAAACTCCTTTGATGGGCCAGTAGGTTGTGCTGCCAGGTTGAGCCCTGAACACACCAGAGCCTGCTGGACTCCAGCCAGCCAGGTGGAACCTGTGTGCGGGTGTTTTCAAGCCTGGTCAGTGGCAGCTGGAAATGGTACTGCAGGAAGGTTAGTCAGGACGGAAATAGGAGTTGGCTTCCTTGAGTCATGGAAAGAAGGATTCCTGAGGCAAGCTCCCCTGACCTCGAGTATCTGCCCTGAATAAAGGTGCCTGAAATCCTGCAGTGGAAGCTTCCTTTGTGTCAAAAATGATTTGTTTGTTTTTTCACATTTTCAGATTAAAATGCACGGGCCATTTTAGATGATGAGCTAAAACCTGCGGAAGGATTAAGTACAGATAACCAAAGGCAGAATGGGAAAGGGAGGTGTGGTGGAGAAGGTGTTTCAGGGAGCCTCGGTGACTGCCAGGTTTGCAACCACGTGTGGGGAAGGAAACCTTTTCCAAGTATGTTCCCCAGGACACTTGTCCTGGAGAAGTTCCAGAAAAATGAGGGTTTATAGTCACTTGGGTTTAGAAAATTTGCCTTGTACTGGATTCACTTCATGAAAATTCACAGTGCAAATTAGCATATTGAAGGCTCTGAGGTCCCAGGGCAAAGAAATGTGATTTCACTTTCTCATCTGCCACTTTCCAAGTTACTTGACCAAGGACCTTTTTTTATACTTTTCACCTAATTAACATTTCATTGAACTGGTGTGGTGTAAAATACTGTCCACATAGGGAGATACCAGTTAAAGTAATCCAATAAATAACATTGAGTTCGGCCCTGGCCCGTATGGCTCAGTGGTTAGAACGTCAACTGCAGAACAGAGACCCGGGTTCAGTTCACGCTGGGGGCACATACCTCGGTTACAGTTTGTCCCCGGCCCCGGTTGGGGTCGTGTGGGTGGCAACCAGTCGATGTGTCTCTCTCACGTCGATGTTCCTCCCTCGTCGATGTTTCTCCCTGTCTCCTGTTCTATCTGAAGAAAAATGCCCTCGGGTGAGGATAAATAAGGGTTCGATTTATAAAGGAGCGCCTGCACTGCCCCGCGCTCACCCGTTCTCCAGGCCAAACCTCCGCGAGGCAGGCTTTGTGGCCCTCGAGGGGCCTTCCCGCCCGTACAGATGGGCGGTTTGCCTGGACTCAGGACAGTGACTGAAGTGAGAGATGCAGGTTGCCAGCCGAGTTACCATTACTCCACACTGCCACTCCCCCTGGCCAGTCAGCCTTTCTGGAACAATCTGGGTCCTCCAGGGGAACAGTTACTGCCCCCCAAGGTTACAGCCTGGGTCCTCCAGAGAAACAGTTCGGCCGCCTGGGGTTACACACACCCGCCTTGTCCTGCAGCCTTTTCTTTGGAAACACTCGAAGGCCTCTAGCCACGGCCTGTGTTGGTTCGGATCAGCACTACCCTTTTCAAGTTCCAGGCCCAATCTTTCTGTGCTGGAAAATGTCTGCCCCTCTCATTCGCCATCTAGGTTTTGTTCATGTGAAGGTCGGTGAGGATCCTGCTGAGGGCTAATAAATCCAGGTAGTGAGGATGTGCTTGCAGCTGGCAAAGCAGCCTCATATTTGATTCAGTGCCCTCCTCCCAGGCCCAGAGGCCCCATCCTTCAAGGCACGAGATTTTAAATATTTTAATCTTATTTGCTGATCAATTTTGTCTCTACTGTTTCATTTCAAGTCAAGTACTATCATGTTTATCCTTACCAGAACAAACACAGTATTTCAGGTATTTAAAGGTTAATTTGCCTTTGTGAGTCCTTGGAATTCTAACTGCACGGACAGCATTGTTGCTATGGGGACACAAAGTCCTCCAAACAACTCAAAATGAACTTTTTTAACATCCTGTTTGTAAATTGAAGGTTTCCTGAGTGGATAATTATGTCCCTCTTTTTTTTTTTTTTTTTTGTAGACTGGAGTTTATGTTTTAATTGGATTAAGATTGAGTCATTTGCACGCTCTGTTGTCAAATCTAACCCGGAAAATTACCTGGCAACAGTTAACGATTCATCACAGCACCACGGAAAGCGTTTATTATAAATGCTGTGCTGTTCTAAGCATTTTGTTTACGTTATTTGGCCTAATCTCCCGACCACCCTGAGCTAGGGTTGGTCTGAACAGTCCCGGTTTGAATAGAAGGAGCCCAGCGTTGGGCTTCTGCTGACCACGGTCAGAGCCAGAAGCAGTGACCGACTTCAGAGCTTGCCATTCCGTCCACCTCCACGAGAGCCAAGGTTTCCAAGTACAGTACTTCAGTGAGGGCTGCCTGGGGACCGTCAACCCGCTCCCTCGGTGGGTACTGAAATTCAGATGTTTTTATTCAGAATTGAAACTATTCAGGGCTGCAAGAAAGTGTGTGCCCCTAAAATAGTGTCCCCCTGCCTCCCCAAAATAAGTTCTTTGAGAAGAACATTAGAAACAAATCCAGTTCAGCTTCTCAAATGTTTGCCTTGACAGGATAGCAGCAAGGACTGGCTTTCACATCCCTTTACTGGGCAACACCCCCATCACTTCTCGCACAAAAATTATCCCTTGAGACCCACCTTGGGGGCGAAATAATGCCCCTTCCCCAGTGACCTATTTGCTTACCATCTTAAAAAGTCAATGTTTAAAAAAAAAGAAAAGAAAAAACAATGAGTACAGAAGTCTCAAAAAAGTACCCATGCAGCCATCACCTGGGATCTCAGTCTCCCGTTAATGGTGTCAAGCATCTGCCATCAGCCTCAGCCTCTTTGAAACTCCTTTTTAATGACAGAAAATAGTAACGGGCGCATGAGTAACTGCCCAGAGTCGAAAACCAGAGGGACTGACTGAACATTACACTCATCGACCCCACAAATCACTTTGGGAACAGGAAAGGAGTTTGTTTCTACAAGTCAGATCGACTGTTGTAAAAGAATCGATTCTGATGTTTTGCCCTCACACTCTGAGGCTTTCCCAGGAGAGGTGCCTGGAGGCTCCCCAGACACCTGCCTGGGGTTAGATTTACATCTAATGGAGATAGAACATCTGCTTCCTTGTGTCCCTGGCCACCACTGGTGAAATGTAGTGTTTGTGGCTCTCTCCTTGAGCAAGGCCAAAGAATGTTTATGTGCCACGTACATAAATTATATGCATGTCACATAGATGCGACCCTGCTTCGTAGTTATCATCTTGGCAGCATATTAATAGTTTTGTACTTTGTGGGCACATTTCAACCAATTACTCATATTGGTCAGTGGCAAAATGTCTACCTTCCAGAGAGGAACAGAATTAATTCCCAGTAATTAAGAATAGCCTAGAATGAGGGTCAAGCTATTTGGAAGCATTTAGCTGCAAATAACAGAAAGCAGCCCTGTAAGCTAACAGCCCTGTACTGTTCCCCGAGGCGGAAGCGCGGAGGGCGGGCAGCTCCGGGGAGAGCGGATGCTGCACCTCCACGAGACGTCAGGGACCCGGGGTTGTGCCACCTCCATGCATCTCACAGAAAGAGAACGCCTTTCTCCTTCCCTTTGTCTCAAAGGATGAAGAAAACGTTTCCCCAAACGTGTTCGTAGCCGGCTGGCTGTGCCTCAAACGATCCTTGGCAAGGCATGGCCTCACATGACAGCCTGAGCCTTGAGATTCTCACCTTGTCGTTGTCGCCACTTGGGAACTGGAGGTGCCTCTGGCATCTGCTGGGTGAGACCAAGGATGCTGCTAAACATCCTGCAATCCACAGAACAGCCCCACCACAAAGAATTCTCCTGCTCCAAATGTCAACAGTGCCCAGGTGGAGAAACCACAGCTTAACCCACTCAGGACCCAACCTGAGCCTGGGGCGAGGCCTCCTCTGACAGCCCCTGGACCCTCCGAGGAGGGCATATGAGAACAAACCCAGAACTCCATCAGAAAGGAAAGGGGTGGCTATTGGGTGGACAACCTACAATGTCTGTCGCCGACCTCTTAATTACAGCTTCTGGGTTTGAATTGTAACAGTGGAGATGGTTAAATAAGGAATTAGCTGATTCTCACCCTTGGCTGCACATTAGATCAACTAGGGAGCATTTTGAACCCTGAGGACCAGGCAGCACCTGGGCCCACTGCACTAGGACCCCCACAGGTGGCCCAGATAGGGGGATTCTGAGCTTGCCTGTGCATCAAAATTGGGAACTGCGTTCCGGAAGGGCTGTCTACGGCTGCTCATCGGTGACGTAGTTGGCCAAGCAAATTAGATGGGATTCTGCCAACCTTCTGTCAACCCAGCTGACACTTCCAACTTCCACAGTCGAGACAGGCATACCTTATCTGACACCCAGCTCAATTCATGTGTCGCTTTAACGACTGGATGGTGCCACCGCTGTTCAAATAAAAGGATGTCTGAGTTCCGGACAGGTGATGTCTTGTTACCCAGACTCAAATTCAGGGTTACCTCACGTTGCTGACCGCCTGCCCTGGCCAGGAGTCGTGCAAGGGGCCCTCTGCATTGTCTCCTGAGCTCCCTGCAGCCCCGGGAGGGTGTGGGCATCAGAAAGGTTTCCAGATGGAATGTTTCAGCCTTCAAAAACCCCATTCCTAAACCATTTACCTCTTCCCTTGTGGAGGTCTTTAGAAGCTGCGATCCAAACCCAGTGAGTATTTCCAGAAATAAACTTTAAATATTAAATATCTTAAAACTCAAGGCCCTTGTTAGGAAAAAAGCACAGTTAATTTGGATGGGCCGTGGATCATCATCAAAAGAGTCGTTTCTGGAAATTTAAATAATGCGCTGGTTTCTGTTAATGACACCTTCTCCAGGGACTACGGGGAGGGTCATTTGATTCTGCCCCAAAATCCTACTGAAGCGAAGGCTGAGCCTCAAGTATTTGTGGAACGGAAACCTGGGACCAGCCCGGTGCGTGGGTCACGGACCTGGAAAGGTCTCAACACAATGTCCTCAGAAGAAATCAGCCTCTCCCCTTGATGGGCAGACGTCTCTGATGTGAGCCAAACTCAGGGGTCCTCAGTTACAACCTGTGTTCATCAGGCCCGGGACGAATCACAGAGTCTTTGGAACCAGCTGTAAATCTATGCCGGCTCACTAGCAAAACTTTAAAAAGAGCATTGGCCTCGGGGCCTGTGAGCCCTCGTCGCTGTGGCCAGACCTATGAGAACCCTTCGCCTGAGAGGTGGATTAGGTGAGATGCTTCGTGTGCCAGCATCTTCAAGAGGAAACGTTAGGTTCTTTCAGTGGGTCAATCTCTTTTTCCCAAGCGCAGACGGGGCTTAGCAGTGCCCTGTGACCGACCTCTGTCTCC